TGAATAAAACGTACTTCTCCGAGATAGTAATAATTTAGTGGCATTTGAGACTCTGGAAAGATATTCTCCAAGTACCAACGAAAACTTTTACACTTCAACTTTTCACGTAGCTGTTTCCTGGCTGTGATATCTCCCACCTCAATTCTCTTGGCTCCTACAATGAAGAAAGTTAAGTGTAACAGAAGTAGCTGTCTACTTTCAGTTAGGAAACTATGAAATAATAATATTATTGTAATAATTAGTATTAAACATTTTGATGAAACACTCGCGAGTGAAAAGAGGGACTTGGAGCTCTGGCTAACGAATACAAGTGGTCTCCATCACTGTTCACTTATAAGGCTTCTCATGACGTACCTCCAGTCCTATAGTTCAAGATTTGTTCTGTGGTTATGCATACAGCTTACCCTTCTCCCCCAGAAAAATGCGTGTTACACAAGAGTCAAGCTTTACAACTATGTTACTTTGAACAAATTTAGCAGAGATGCTAACCCTAATTGATGTAGAATAAGAATGCCTGCCTAAAAGATTTGATTGGGTACTTCTGATATCTGCAAATTAAAGTGTACAAAATAAATGGTCAGCAGCACATATTCAAGAGTTCCTTACTGGGATTGGATTTGTAAATTTTGCAGTTTTTTTTTTAGTACTTTTAATTTATTTAACGGGTGTGATTCAACCATAAATTTATCTCACATTTGTTCTATCATAGTTTTTTCTAGTTTTCTCCTGATTGTTGTGGTATTTTGGTGTTAGGGTGGTGTCCCGATATGCTGGTGTTCAATTTTGGGACAAAATGTCTTTTTACCTTGTAATTACTGTGGGTGTTTTTCACCGTTACTGTACTCTATGGATATCATTTAAATAGTGAAATTACCCATGATGTTTTTCATCGTCTATTCCTTTTCAGTTATTTTTTGTAAGGATGACAGTTCCATATGGAACACATGGATTTTGTTTTGACGTCTCTCCAGTGAAGCTAAAACAGCCGTTCTGACCTCTGAATGGGTTAGCTATCAATATACTTTCTCATTGGCTGACATTTCACTCTGTGTTATAAAAGCACTTCAGTCCAGTTTTAATACAGTTGCATCAGTACAAATGCTTAAGTGGCTACAATGTCCTGGTTTCATGTCACGCTTGTAACAACTATACTAGATTTTTGTCAATCTGATTATTTTATTATAATTTACAGGTTTTTATAGTAAGGAAGATTACTTTTTAGAACAAGTACGACGTTTCGATCACTTGTGTGATCGTTCTCAAGTACACAAGTTTTATTGGTAAAGAAGGTTTTAGTATTTAAATGTTAGAATTGATATCGGTTACTTAGGCCTGTGAACATCAATCCACATGAATTGACAGATTATTTATTTATGACTGAACAAAAAAAGTGAACAGATATGTGAAATAATTACATGAGATTAGGAATGTCTGGGGAAACAAAGACCAAAGACATATATAACTTGTAATACAATAGTACATATGATTGCAATGACATAATATGCAGTTAGAAAATCATAATTATTCTCTCCAAATTTTAATGGTTGTGTCATATCTGGTTTATTATAACTAGTTTTTTAAACATGACAAGAATTTAGTTTAGAGAAAGTTCCAAACTGAGGTATTAAGGGATACTGTTTTCCGTACTTGTGTTGACTTTAATTTTCAAAAGTTGAACTTGGCTATTATGCTTTTCATATAATAATTAGTGATTTAATAGGCACTTCACTTTATCAAAAAATAGCACAAGATCGTATGAACTTGTTATAACGTGTCGTAAAACAGTTAAAAATGCATTTTCAGAAACTTTACTGGTTTATTTGACTGGTAAATTAACCTTTATTTTTAGGCCTGATTGAAATTTTACAATTAAAGATGTACTCATAATAATATAGTTTGTTTAAATTACATGTAAAGATACAAAACTTTATATCGCTTCAAAATCACGATTAGTTTCCCATAATACTCTTTTCACTGAGTTTTGACGATCTCCTCAAATTGTCATGAAAACTCATTAATCATTCTAGTCTAAATATGGGTAGTTCTTGTTAATTACACACCGAGACACGGGTTTTTACCTTGAAATCCAATAACTAACCTAAAGTTTATAGTTATTTGAAAAACAAGCTTATTTTGTTTTGTTCACTTATCTTAAGCCTAGTTCCACGTAACAATAAAACTATTACCTGGATTAAACATGTAATAAAAATCCTTCCATTCATCGAGCCAGACGGAGACAAGTCGTACAATGTTTCGATAGATAATGTTACTCTCACCTCCGGGAAAAGTGTACGGTGTCGCGCTGCGGAAAACGTGGCCAACGTGAGAGCAAGGGACAACTTCAAGTGTTCCTCCACACATCCATATCTGGAAGAAAGTATGAAAAATGTACATTTACAAACACACTAAATAAGTAAACAGTAGGTGTGAAGTGTTTCTAATATAATAGCATAGAAACAGCCGATAGCTAATCCACTTGGTAAAGATGTAACATGTATTATGTTGTAATTACCAATTAAAATATCATCATACAAACTATTGTTATCGTAACGTTTAACGTAGCTATTTCACTAGCAATTCAGTGTAAGCACCTGAGCCTAGGTCACATACAGCAAACCATAGAACAATATAAGCCTCTTCAAGCACATTAATATCAGTATTACAATCTTGGACTTGATAAGTTAATGTTTTTACTTACTTGTAACATGATTACATCACCAGTAAAAAAAAACAAGCTATTTTCCTCGTTAATTAGCTACAGTGAAATATGTCTTATTCTCACTTTTATTTCCATCCAAAATATTACCGATGAAACAAGTTTTGAAGGAGTCTCATCCATTAAAAACAAAAATAATAGATGAATCTGCCATGTTGTGAACCTTTGGAAATTTAATATATTCTGGATCTTAAAACCTGAAAACGGTGACACTACAGAGGTAATTTTTCAGTGACAATATTTCTAGAGAAAATTTCATTCTACTCAGGAATCACGTGTTAAGTTTTTATCTCTTCTTCCCTACATGTTTACTCTTGTTATCACACAAGTATAAGATATTGGTAGAAAAAATATAGGTTATTCCATTAAGTAATTTATTTATCATATACAGTTATGCATTTTATAAGCGTATTTCGAGAAATTCTGAAAATTATCTTATATTACTACTATATTTTTCCCATGGTTTCTAGGGTGTTAGCAAGGCTTTATTGGATATATTTTATTCTAGACGTATTATGCCACGAAACTTGCACTTTATAGAAATTTTAACCTTCAGATTAAAAAAGTAGCTTAAAGTAAACAAACCCTGAATGAAAGTTCCAGGTTTTCACTCCCCCAAATGTCCATCCCTTCATCATATTTTCCTATATATTCAAAATAGTCTTTATCTATGGAAAACAATCCTCCTGCCATTGTTGGAGATCTGAATATTACAAAAAAAAAAGAAGAAATATATTAAATATTTCCTAGGAGTTAAGACAAGGTAATAATAATTTTTTGTATAACTAATTTGCTTCAGTGGCTAAGTCTAAAGACTTCTAATGCTAAAAACCAGGTTTCAATACCCGGAGTGAGTACAACACAAATAGCACGTTATGTAGCAAACATTGATGTGACAGTTCATGTATACTTGATGCTGAAATCATTTCTTATTTTAAACCATTTATACTCTTACAAAAGAACGAGTAAATACACAAATATCAATGTTAGCTAACGTTTAACAGCTACGCTTTACATGCACTTTTACTAATTTCACTTTTCGCTACAGGTTCAATCCTTGTGAGGTTAATAAAGATAAATATAATGAATGTTGTTTTCCGAACACGGTGAGACTCAAATGTTTCCGCTAACAGAATATAGTTCAATATCCTGCTTATGGAGTATTTAAATATAATTTCAAGAAAAGTAAAAATGATATTACTGTGTAGTGCTCTCTTTGCTTTCGGTGTAAAACTACAGTAACTTCTTTATTGCTAATAACATTCTTAGATGTGTGTGTATATGTACTGGAGAGAAACTCTTACCGGATAGGCTTGGTTCTGTCACCATCACGACGATCTATTTCCCTTTGAGGAACTTTGTACCATCGAAAGCTTAACTTCCAGTTGAACCCACCATAGGTGATGTCCGATACTGGGATGTACTCAAATGTTTCGTCACTAATAACATCAATTATTGGACAAACTACTCGGCTTCTGTCACAAAAAGCAATAAACTTTATTAGTTTTCGTCACTAATAACATCAATTATTGGACAAACTACTTGGCTTCTGTCACAAAAAGCAATAAACTATTAGTTTTCATCACTAATAACATCAATTATTTGACAAACTACTCGGCTTCTGTCAGAAAAAGCAATAAACTTTATTAGTTTTCGTCACTAATAATATCAATTATTGGACAAACTACTCAACTCTTGTTTGTCACACAAAACCACTAATTTGATTAATTTTCATCACTAATATCACTAGTGTACTTCTATTTCTTAAAAAAGCTACAAATATTATTCATTTTCATCAATTATCAGACAAACTATTTCCTCCTGTTTGTCACAAAAGCCACAGTATTTATT